TCTGAATTATACTCAAGTATCTTCAGCTTCTGAGCTTCCACAGCTTCACTTCTCCGCATACTGTACACCCACACAGATACGGTTTGTCCTTGTGTGTTCTATAAGAGGGAGATGATTACAATGCACCTGTCCGACATCTCTATCCCTTAGTGACACAAATGCAGCTGCATGCGTGCTGTGAAGAGGACTGATTCACACCTGCTCATATCTGCTGAGCTCCACATTTCTGTAAATGTGACATCTGGAATGCAGGACGGATGAATTCCCCATGTGGTCTTGACAACAAACTCAATGGTCTCCTGCTTTTGTTTGCATCCTCATCCTCAAGATGGTATTTGAATGATACCATGACCTACTGATGGTTTCTAGCATGTTTTTGGAGAAGTGGCCTGTTGGAGAATATTATATTATGCTTACATGATGCTGATGGATAACTGGAAAGAGTTTCCACCAAAGCAATTTGAGGGGGTGTCTGAATTTCAACAGCATCCACAATGTTAAAACCCTTCCATATTTATTTTATCAAAGTTAAAATGTATTTTATTACAATGTTAGTAAATAAACAAGATAATCACAGTGCCACTAAATTAAGACCCAACCCTGAGTCTTCCAAAAGATGTCTCGGTGATTGTCTTCCTGTGTGTGGACACTGTCAGTGGAGTGTTAGGAAGAGGAAGCTGGGTGGGTGGCTGTGTTTTGGAGGATGCAAGTTGATGGCGGTAATGAACTCATGGGGAAATGAGTGAAACACACAGCAGGACGCAAACTGTGCTGTCTCAAATAAACACACTTTTGCCACTCAATCAATCAGTGTTGTCTCCCCATGATACTGTGTCTTAGTGGCTTCAGCAGGTTATACCTGCATGTGATCACCACCTTTATATATTTATATAGTGCTTTATACAATACAGATTGTGTCAAAGCAGCTTCTCAGTGTCGAACAGGAAAATAGTTTGTCAATAATGCAAGAGGACAATAACAAAAAGAAAATTTTTCTGGTAAAGTCAGTTCATTGTTGATTCAATGATGTCATCATCCAGTTCAGCTCTCTTCCAATAGTGTCTGTGCAATCAAGCCGACAATATTGCCAAAATTAAGCCTCCCCAACTAAGCAAGCCAAAGGCAACAGTGTCAAGGAAACAAAACTCCATCTGTGACAGAAATGGAGAAAAAACTTTGGGAGAAACCAGGCTCAGTCGGTGGGCCAGTTCTCCTCTGGCCAGACAAAACCAGCATGGTGTGGTTTAATTCCAGGCTGCAACACAGGTCATATTCTGCAGAGGACTTGTCTGGTTCGTGGTCTTGTCCCGATGGCCATCTAGTTGACAAGGTCTTCACAGAGGATCTGTCTCTGGGGCGTATCTAGTTGACATGGTCTTCGCTGACATTCAGGGCTGTAGAGGTCATCTCTAGGTGCTGATCCACCATCTGGTCTGGATACGGACTGGATCTGGGTGGCTACAGTGACCATCTGATCTGGATACGTACTGGATCCGTACGGCTACGGTGACCTTGGAATAAGAATGAGAGAGACTAATATTAGCATAGGTGCCATTCTTCTTACGATGTAATGAGTAGATCGGGTGTTATGGGAAGTGTTCCAGGGTCTGGTTGACCTAATTAATGCAGCCTAGCAATCCTTTAACAGATTTGAATTATAGAGATGTGATCATGTGTTATGTGTATGCCTGGATAAAGAGGTGGGTATTTAATCTAGATTTAAACTGACAGAGTGTGTCTGCCTCCCGAACAACGCTAGGTAGATGGCCCGATATAATGCGATATGAGCTCACTCAAGTATTGAGGACCTAAACCATTCAGGGCTTTATAATTAATTGGTAAGATTTTAAAATGTATTTAATCTTCAATAGTGAGCCAATGCAGAGTGGACAGAACTGGGATAATATGGTCATACTTCCTAGTTCTAGTAAGAACTCTAGCTGCTGCATTTTTGGACCAGCTGGAGTTTGTTTATTAAGAGAGCATATGTCTTTATTTATTTAGATATATTTTTAAGATGGAAAAATGTGGCTTTACAAATACTAGAAACATGGTTTTCAAAGGTAAGATTACTATCAAATAGCACACCTAGGTTCCTAACTGATGACGAAGAATTGACAGAGCAGCCATCAAGTGTTAGACAGTGATCTAGGTTATTACATGTGGAGGTTTTTGTTCCAATAATTAACACCTCTGTTTTTTTTCAGAATTTAGCAGTAGGAAATTACTAGTCATCCATGTATTTTTATATCAACTATGCATTCCATTAGTTTTTTGAATTGGTATGTATCATCGGGCCATGAAGAAACATGGAGCTGAGTGTCATCAGAATAACAGTGAAAGCTAACACCATGTTTCCTGATGATATCTCCCAAGGATAACATGTAAGGCATGAAAAGCAGTGGTCCTAGTACTGAGACTTGTGGTACTCCATACTGTATTGTGATCGATATGATACCTCTTAATTCACTTCTATGAACTGATGATGGTTCGATAAGTAAGATTTGAACCATGCCAATGCAATTTCACTAATGCCATCATCATTTTGTAGTTCACTCAAAATAATGTTGTGGTCAATAGTGGATAGATCCAGTAGCAATAATAGAGAAATACAACCACGATAGGGATAATAAGAGCAGGTAATTTGTATCTCTGATGAAAACATCTGACTGTGGACAACAGATCTGTTCCAAACCCTAGTGATGGTCCTACATAGTCAGTATTTTTAGGCATCATAGGCATACTTCTGACATGAACATTGGTTCAGAAGGTAGAAAGCAACATTATCCAGTCTTCTAGGATTCTTTCTTTTCACCTAAATTGAACACAGAACTTGAAGATGGCTGCATTGCTACAGCCTAAGTCAGGGGTTCTCAACTCTGGCTCTCAAGATCCGCTTTCCTGCAGAATTTAGCTCCAACCTTGATCAAACTCACCTGCCTGTAACTTTCTAGTGATCCTAAAGACCTTGATTAGCTATCTTGATTACCTTCCGAGAAGGCAATTTGAGAATGCAACTTATATGTGTATTCAATGCTGAAAGTAACAAATAGTTTAATCCAATTAAAACTGACTAGCTATTTGTGTAAATTGTGTGTTCTGTTTATTTTTGTTCATCAGCCTATTTTCTCATCAGCTTAGCAACATGCTAATGTCATATTCTATTGAAATTAGCGATGGGAAGATCGGATCATTTTACTGACACCCTCGTTCGATCATGTTCATCAAAATGAGCTAATCTTTTTCCAAGTAATTTCTAAAGTTTGAAACAAGGATTATGTTGCCAGCCAAAACAGTGCGATCCCATTGCTTCTCAAATGCAAGTGATCATTGCATGTATTGTATGTGTGTGTGTGTTCCATGTTTTCCTGTGCAAAATCTGACTGTGTCATTCACAATGCATTCATGCATTTGTCTCATCATTGTCTCATACTCATAGTTAGTATGTGGTATGTTTTCATATTGTCCGATCACTTTATTGATTAATATGTGTCTCATCAATTATTTAGTCTGTCATGTCAGGATGATGAAACTAGATGAGACGCCACACTCGACACTATAAATCTAAATGACTGTATCCCAATATAAATTGAAGGGTGGTGTTTGTATGGAGCTGTTGACAGGGGCTGGATGAATTGGAATCATTCCTAGCTCTATGCTGCTTATGGGAGACATTTGTGCCGATAATGTAGCTGATGCTGGTGACATTTAAACAGATCTCCACTCTCAGCTGTGTTTAATACAACAGATCAGCACAACAGAACCTTCCAGCAACCTGTGAGGCCTTTTACTATTGCAATATTTATATTTCCACTTTGCTGTTTATTTCATGAGATATATCATTCAACAAGTTTTAATCAGGGCAGGCACTAACATTCATTTTGTTTCTTACAATATTGCATTGATATTTAATATCTTGATATTTAAAATATGAATGCATGCATATACTTTTCTACCTTTCAATTACTGAAAAACAAAATTGACAATCATAAGGAATTAAAATGTAATTTAGAGCTATAATAATTGTGAGCTATTTATGATAATGTGATGCATCACAGTGTATTGAATTCAATTGTGCCATATGATTGCTTTTCTTTGATGCACAGCATTGTAAGTTAGTACTGAAACAAAACCACTATTGATTAAAAAAATGGCTCAGGTACAGAACCCTTGGAATTGATTTTCCCAAAGCAGCAGTAGGCTACATCATACAGATTGATGTGGAAATTGTTTGATTTTGGAAAGCGTTTGCTCAATGGAGCACTTCTACAAATACGATGCAGCATTTGTGTCTCCTTCAGGACTCTCAGATCAATGTTTCATCTGAAAGAGAGTCAGAATGAATATGGCTGTAAATCCATTATTAAACTGTAAAGGATGCTTTTAAGATGTGTGTATGTGTTTATGAATTGCTGATAAGGAGAGTGAGCCGCTGACTGCCGTAGCAATTTACAGATCTATCAGAATAGATATTACATAACCATCCATTCTCCAAACCGCTTGTCCTATAGGGTTGTGGGACATATAACCATAATACAATAAGTAATTATTGTATGTTTGTACATATATATTTGGGAGGAGTCACAATGATCATCTAGTTTCACAATGATCATCAGATTAGGGCTGATCTTTGTTTTGTTTTATTTTATTTTATTATATTTCATTTTATTTTACTCATTGTTTGACTGAATAATAACTTGGATATATAAAGCAATGTTAACTTCGTTCAGAAATGTTTGAATGCTTTGGTTTATTTTAATCTATATATATCTATTAATATTTTAATAATGGAGTGTGTTAATTAATGAATAATGCAACTGGTATCTAGAATCACAGAATTTGCAATGGTAATATTTTTGATCAATATAAATTTGATGTCATGCCAATAGCACATCACAAATGACATTTTTGCTATATATATTGGTTTGATATTTGATTTGAATAGTAAAACAAATGTGTTTATGTTTTTTGTCTAATTTCCCCTTTCTTCTCATCCACAGTGTGCTGTTTTGTGGTCCACAAAAGGTGCCATGAGTTTGTTACGTTCTCCTGTCCAGGAGCCGACAAGGGCCCTGACACAGATGTGAGTAAATGCTTGTACTTCTCTCTCTCTCTCTCTCTCTCTCTCTCACACACACACACACACTTGCTCATACTGCAGTCAGCATGTTCTGTGTTCTGTTTGTTAAGATCCATATCCATTCAAGCTGTTTTGTGAAGGTGTGCTTGCTTTAAAACGGATGTGTTTGCTAAGACTTCAGTGTAATGCCAAGCAAAAACAGTCTTCTCTTTTTTGCTCTCTCCTCCTCCTGCTCTGTGGGGATGTGTGTGTGTGTGTATGTGCTTCTCATCTCTGCTGTGAGGACAGCTGCTTGTGGTTTACCGTAGATGAGCACCGTGGGCCAATAGTGGTTAAATATGACCTGTTAGCCCCTGCATGTCCCCTGAGTGCTGCTTACTCAGACATCCAGAAAAAAACCCACACAAAGCCAGTTATGTGTTTTCTTTTAACCCTTCTCTAGATTAGCCACACATTAGCCTCTAAACCACATTAGGAAGGAGCTTCTGAGAGGTTTACATACATGTTGTGGTTGTTTTAATGGGTCTAAATTGCTATCAAGATTTAAATTACAGACATGAATGAGTTCAGGCAGTATGTTCAGACTAACAACACAATCCTTTTTTTTGGACTTTTGCCATTTAAGCAAGAAGTACCTTTGCTTACATCAATAGTAAATTTGATTAGTTTTAGTAAAAAAAAATTCTTGGATTGTTTTTTTTTTATTTTTTTTATTATTGATAATTCACTGAATAAAATTCTGTCATCATTTATTCACCCGTATGTCAAAATAACTTTATTTTCCTTTGGAACACAAAAGGAGATATTTTGCTGTACTCTTTAGAACCAGGCTTCTCCCATAGAAATAAATAAATAAATAAGCCAGTGTAAAAAAAAAATGGTTACAGCCAAATTAAGTGATTTTTCTCAAATTATATTTATGGTTTGGTTCAAACCTTACATTTTCATTTAATAGAAATAAAAAATATTTATACTGACAAGGGAAAAACATTCATAAAGAAAGTAAAAATATCATTTATTATGAAGACGTTACAATACTTAATCAATGTTTAATTTAGTTTACTTACTATAAATAAAGATAACTTCAAAAGACCTTAATGTTTAGCCTTAATGTGATGACTAGTGTGATATCTGGTGATGACAGGTTTAAATATGCATCACATTTAAAAAATAAAAAATAAAAGAATATATATATAGTCATTTTACTTTTTTTTCTGTGTACAATGGCAGCCAACAGTGACCAGGGGCTGTCAAACTTCAAACTTCAAAAAAGAAAATTCCCATACAATTTGCATAATAGTATTCTGAGGTCATATGTTGGCTTTGTGTACAGAAATGACTAAACATCTCTCAAATTACATACAGTAGGTTTGGAACGACAGAATTAGAATTTTTGAGTGACCTGATCCTTAAACAGTATTTGATGATGTGTGAATGCAATCCATTTTTTTTGTCCTGGATTTTGTATATTTTTTTTCTCAGTATCTTGGAGAGGCTGGAGAATCTCTGTGTTTGTGATTGTGTGTGAGTCAGAGGGTCAGAGCTGCTGATCTCATGAGCTCTTCTCCTCCTGGTGTGAGCATGTGCTCCATCATGACCCTAATGCCGAGTTCACACTGCACGATTTTCAAACTCATCGGATCGCCGTTGTTTTCACACTGCGTGACTATCTGGGGTAGCATTCAGTTGCTGCTGTGTTCACACTGCACGATGGATCGGCGACAGGGGGTTTCACATTGCATGACTTCACAATAGGAAGAATCGCCGACAGCTCTGTCTGGTGCAGGGTTGCCAGGTTTTCGATACAAAACCCACCCAATTACTACTCAAAACTAGCCTGAAAATAGCTCAATTGCTTTCGAGGGGGTCCCCCAGTAAAAATCGCGTTCGGGGGTAAAATACACATTTTTTTGGCGGGGTTCTCCTGGTACAATTCACATTCCAGGGCCTAAATATCACGTTATTGAGGTTGCTTCAACCTGCTGACATAAAAAAACAACCGGCGGCAATCGCGGATTTGGCAACACTAGTCCGCAAACTACGTTTCATATAACTCCTCCCCGAACTTCCCGCTGCCCTGTATCTTGGTCTCTCATTGGCTGTAGGTCATCGCCGACAGCTCCAGATATTTAGCATGCCAAATATTTCACGGGCGTCGGCGATGTGTTGGCGATTCCCTCAGATCGTGTCTTTGATAATTCACACTGCGTGATTGTCACTCGCGTGAACGAGCGCCGATTTGTCTCCGATTTCGGGCATTTCTCTGCGATTTCGCAAAACCTGTCGGCGAGTGAAAAATCGGGCTAAAATCGTGCAGTGTGAACTCGGCATAAAGCTGCATCATCCAGCCCTCCCATCATGGGCTTTCATCTGAACACTGCTCATTTCACATCTCTTTTCTCTGTTGTCCTCGCGCTTCATCTTTCTTTAGCTGATGCTTGAACCCTCAAGACATACGGATAAACCATCTCCACTCTCATTTAAAGCTGCAGTATGCAATTTCCATGCCACCTTCATTTTCGGAAGAAAATGTGAGTGAGTTACATGTACAAGAACCTGCCGGCTATGCTAGGGTGTTGTGGGTGGTTGCTGAGTGTTTATTATTCCATTGTGTTGAATTTGTAAGTATACACTAGGTTTTTCGTAGGAACATGGCAGGCGTAATAACTTTCCTTTTTTCTTCTATGAGCTCACTTGGCCATGACCACCCTTGGAACTGTCACCTTAGACTTCTGTCCTACCAACTTCTTTGGCTTTTAACTCTGCAAAACACAGAACAAAACACATTGGTATGAGGTTGCTAGGGTTTACTGGGTGGTTTTTAACATGTTACTTTGTGTGGTTCCTATTTAATTAAAAAATGCCACTACCAGCTCTATATTTTGGTTTTGAATAGTCATCATCTCATGTGAGTGTACACCATTCAGATGACATTTATTCACATTTTCTTTCTTAAACAAATAGTTCACCCACAAAATGAAAATCTGTTGAAAATTTACTCAGGCCGTCCACGATGTAGGTGAATGTGTCGCTTCATCAGACTTCATGTTAACTGATGGACTGGAGTGGTGTGGATTACTTGTGGATTATTGTGATGTTTTGGTCAGCTGTTTGGACTCTCATTCTGACGGCACCCATTCACTGCAGAGGATCCATCCATCCAAGTGATGTAAGTGCTACATTTCGCCAAATCTGTTCAGAAAAAGAAAGAAACTAATCTACATCTTGGATGATCTGAGGGTTCATTTTTGAAATAACTATTCCTTTAATGTGTGTATGTATATATATATATATATATATATATATATATATATAATTAGCACCAAAGTACTGAACGCACCTGTAATGTTCTGATGGATCGATTTTTCTGTGTTCGGGGACAAGAAAAACAGTTTTACTCTGCACACACTTGACCTTTGAACTATATAGTACTATATCTGTTGTTCGTCTTGCATCCATGTTCACTCTGCAAACATGTTCTTGTGCTAAAAAGAGTGTAAATTTGTTAGTTTTTTTCATTTGTGATTTTGTACAGATGCATCTGTCTGAGGTGAACTTCAAACAGATCTACAGCGTTGTGCGTCACGATCAGATCAATGTGTTTCTGCATCTGACGTTCACAGCGTTTCATACGCGGCTTTGATTTTCACATATGGATTAAATTGGAACAAATGATCTGTCAAGTCCCCAGTGATTCTCAGTGTCTTTCTGTCACCAGAGTCTCTGAACATATTAATACATTCATTACTGGAATCCACTCGGACTGGATGTCGAGTATCTTTCAAGCCATTAGTGAGAACTGTTTATACATGGACACTTTAAACACACACACACACACTCTTGCACGTGGTTACATAGTGTTCTCTTATAGGCTGGTTAAAATAACAAGATGCATGTTATGATAAATGATCATTTTTAACACTATGCCGTTTTTCTCTAAATTCCCCTGCTGCTGCTTATAGTTGTTTTTAAGTCCGTTAATGCAAAAATATAAAGTACTGTAAGTAACATGCTATGTCTGACCACTTTGATGAGCCAAATGACAGTAATGTAGCCATGCAAGTCAAGTCAACTTGTATAGCGCTTTTAACAATACAGATTGTGTCAAAGCAACTGTACAGTATTAATTAGGAAAATAGTGTGTCATTAATGCAAAATGACAATAGTAAACACTCAATTTTCAGTTAAAGGCAGTTCATCATTGAATTCAGTGATGTCATCATCCAGCTCAGTTCAGTTTAAATAGTATCTGTGCAATCAAGTCGACGATATCGCTGGAAATTAAGTGTCCCCAACTAAGTAAGCCAGAGGCGACAGCGGCAAGGAACCAAAACTCCATCGGTGACAGAATGGAGAAAAAACCTTGGGAGAAACCAGGCTCAGTCAGGGGGCCAGTTCTCATCTGGCCAGACGAAACCAGCAGTTCAATTCCAGGCTGCAGCAAAGTCACATTGAGCAGAGGACTCAACTGGTTCCTGTGGTCTTGTCCTGGTGGCCATCTAGGAGACAAGGTCTTCACTGGGGATCTGTCTCTGGGGCTCATCTAGTTGTCCTGATCTCCGCTGACATTCAGGGCTGTAGGGGTCATCTCTAGGTGCTGATCCACCATCTGGTCTGGATACGGACTGAATCCGGGTTACTGCAGTGACCATCTGATCTGGATACAGACTGGATCTGGTGGCTACGGTGACCTCGGAATAAGAAAGAAACAGACTAATATTAGCATAGGTGCCATTCTTCTAACGATGTAGCAATTTCTCATCTTTTTAAGTGGGAGAACTTGCACAATTGGTGGCTGACTAAATACTTTTTTGCCCCACTGTACATCGGGTGTTATGGGAAGTGTTCCCGGTTCCGGTTGTCCTATTTAATGCAGTCTAACAGTCCTTTAACGGATTTGGATATTAGAAATGTGTTAGTGTGTTATGTGTAAGACAGGTTAAAGAGATGGGTCTTTAATCTAGATTTAAACTGACAGAGTGTGTCTGCCTCCCGAACAATGT